TAAAAATGCGCCCGACTTTTGTCTAGTGAGTGTATATAATGATTTAATATATATATATATATATACTGCATAATATGCATTCTTTATATCTGAGTGTGATGCATTTTTTTGCACTTCAAGAGTTTCATAAAGATCTTTAGTTTTATTTACAGCGACTGATATGCCATATTTACTAATTGCTATTTTCTTACCCTATCATTATTATTATTATTATGAATTTTGAATCTATATAAATGCTTTAAAATCTAATTTTTTAAATATTACTATATTGTGATTGTGTAAAATTCAATGATGACACGATCAATACAATGGAAGTATTTATTTGTATGCATCAAATTGTGGCTAGGAATCATAAAACCTGTTCCAAATCTTGAAATATTCATTGTCCATTGACCATTTTAATACAAAATGACCAACTTGTCATTTCTTTTTGACTTTCCTTTTGAACTTTAATAGAAATGACCTTGCCAAAGAGCACTCAAAAAATAACTGACAAGTTGAACCAAAAAATGAACATCTCGAACACGTCGGAGCTATGGCTTGGTAAACGTAAATTACACGCTTCTTCATTTGAATTTACAGAAAACTCGGATTCCAATCCAACTTCTATAATCTCAAAACATGCTTCTTCACATGGGTTGGTCTCAGCAATTATTCATTCTTATACTCTTCACCAACATCTTCGATTATCACCAGATGATGTATGGTTAACAATTGCACAATGTATTAGTAGGCACATTTGGAATAATGCTGAACGTTTTCGTTACTTATTTGTTAGCCATGAAGGTCATGAAGATGTCTTTGTGGATGCTCGAGATATTATAGGATATGTTAACCAAAACTTTATAGGCGATTGGTCACAAGCGATTTCTCGGCTTTCTAAGACTATTGATAAACGAGTTAAAAAAGTTGGTTTAAAACAGCATCTCGAATGTGATTTTTCTATCTCAACAATTTCATGGTATGGTGGGTGGTTGTGGTATTCCAAAGGTTACCCTTGATGACACCTTGAAGAGTTGTTTAGCAGTATATTTGACGGAGTTAAAGACAACCTTATACAACTGGGATCTGATATTGAAGTGCCTTTTCTTCTTTTTAGCATTATTATTTTTATATCAATCACAATATATATATAATTAAATTAAATTATATTAAATTAATAATATTGTTATCAAAAGATTTCTTTTATGGAGTTGGTGAAAGGAGCTAAACAAACTACTGCTATAGAAACAATAGCTTTTTGTAAAGCGTGTAATGGTCTTGGTACAAAAGGTGGAAAAACTCCAAAACATGTAAAGCATGTAAAGGATCATGTGTACAATATATTGCTATAGCATCACAAATCACCGTCCTTTTTAATGGTATAGGTACAAAAATATCACCTGGAAATAGATGTCCGACATGCTCTGGTATAGGTCAATGAAAGAAAGAAAACCTATTGCTATTGATATTTCTGCTGGTATTATATTCAAATTTTTTCAATTAAATATTTCTTATTGATTAATTAATTAATTAAACCAACTAATTAGTTATTTGTATTTGTCTCGATAAATTATAGGTATTGAAGATGAACAAAAATCAAATCGATTAGACAAGGTGATGCACCTTATGATAGTCAAGAAACACCTGGAAATTTATTTGTAAAATTACTCCACACAATATATTTAAGAGACAAAGTGCAAATATTATTGTCAACAAAGAATACCATTA